CCGCCATAAGTATAAGGGTCCTTTGAGTGACTTGAAAAACACATCAGCAGCTCATATTGCTAAAAAGTCTCAACCAACTAAAGGAGAACTTAAAGCTATTGGAGAGATGATCGTCTGTACCTATGACAAAACGTGCAAGGAAAACCTTGGCAAGCTTTTCAGTGAAGTGCTACTTGTTGCCCCACAATTAACCCTTCAAGAAAAGCCAAGTGCTTATGAAAAGAAAAAAAAACAGCGGTTAAAAACCCAGCGGCAATTTAAAGCGTCTGTTGAAGATATGTAGATCCACATCTTGCTTAAAGAACATCTTAGGCAGCAAGAGCAAAGCAACGAGTCCATCAATCATTTGAAACCTTACAAGAAGCAAATGTACGACTAGCTAAAGAAGTTACTGGAGATACAGAGCAGTTGTTGAAAGATGTGGCAAAGTGGCCTCATGAACCTGTGAGCTGGTCTGCAAAAGCAAAAAGATACAACATCAGAGGAAAGACTAATGAAACCACACCACTTAATGGAGGGCAAATATTGAAGAAATTTCTTAAGTCACAAGGTGTGGATATAAGTCAATTCGAAAAACTCAGTGAAGGTAAAGACCAACCAGACAAACTAAAAATTTAGTAAAACTACCCACCTCTTTCCAAATTACAAGGCATTTAATTTGTAGGCAACTAAAGTTATAATCAAAAAGATCTATTCATCAAAGGACGATCATGCCTGACCAAATGAACCAATAAAAGTAACGCTAATTTTGCCTTGTAGGCCATATTTCTGATCAATTAAACAATGGATGATCTTGATCCTTTCGATGGGTTAAATTTTTCATCATGAGCAATTACCTTCAACTGACATTTTCAGGAAAATGTCGGGTGAGAAAGGCTCTCAAAAAACAAATTGTTGGAATGGTGTCTGTTTCTGCCCCTCAGAACCAATCAACAAATTAGGGCAGATATCAAACAAAGGATATCTACAGGGAAATTCAATCTTGGCACTCCAGACAATGAATACACAAAAATTGTTGTCACTTCGGAGGGAAATATTGAAAAGAAAGTATGCAGAGTTTCAGCAAGGAAGTACCCACTCAAAGAAGTGTGTGCTCAAAGTGCCAAAAGCCATAATGATCCGTTTGAGACTGCAAAGTGATGAGGAATATGACAAGATGACACCTGACCAGCTAAAGGGAAGATTTCAAATCATTCAAGAGGACAACAGTGCCACGACAGAAGAGCAACTCCGCCACCACCTAAAGAAGTGTGAAAGAACCCATGGCATGACTATGGTATGCATGATCATTCAAGCATAGTGAGCTCAGGATTTATGCTGTTCCTGGTGAGAAAAGTGTATGATCCTGTTGTATATCTTACCAGTAAAGATTACAGGGAGAGGCATGGTGGAAAAGGGGTGGATGTTCAGTCAACAATAGAAGCTCCCCACCTATACAAGTTAGGAGCCTCAGGTGCAAAGGATTCTGACTGCAGCTAGCTTTTTTACCAACATGAAGGGAATGCCTAAAGGAGCTACTGGTTACAGAAGTTCTTGGACCAGACGAAACTGCATCTTCTGTGATTGTGACAGAAAAAATGAAATTTATGACTGGAGACAATCCATCTGTTGAGTTTGAACTTGACACACAGAAGAGTGGCCACTTTTGCTGTTCTGGATGTGGTGGAGACATGAGACGTGCTTATGAATATGATTACATGGCTTACCAGAAGTACCGAACCCTTGAAGAGAAACAAAACCTGGTACTAAAGGGAAAGTTTGGGAAGTCTGATGCTACAGGTCCCTTTAAATCTACTATTGTCGAGCCATGTTGAAGGTAGCAAGAATCTCCTACAAAATAATGAAAGAGAAATCCTCCTTCTCTTTTGTGAAATGATGGGTATGTACCATGAAAATGATGAAAGAAGAAGCCCATTTAGGTCAGTGCTGCAGTACTAGCACAATATCTCATTTAGACATGCCCAAGTAATCCAAAGGCAACTGATCCCTACAAAGGAGCTAACTCTGTGAAAAATGTGTGGCATTTACCACCATGGTGCAGTAGATCATGCCCCGCTGTTGTACAGGCTGGTCTGCCTCCGATCCATTTGTGCTGAACTGTTTGAAAATTATTTTGACAGGATTGAAGACATCAAAAGGAAAACCTGGAACAAGCACATAGAAGACCTTAAGTGCCAAATGTCTTCCTGCATATCCAAGCAGTCAAGATTCAATGGCAGCAGAGACAATTTAAACAGCCAGGTAACCCTTACAAACCAAGAGAAAGAGATCTCCCAGCTTGCCAAAGGACTGCCCAAGCCGTCCAACACTGTTATATTCCCAAGGATGTGATGACAGAGAGACCTAGATTGTGGCAGGCACATCTCTCCAAGATCTCCAACTTTCTAAAACCTGGACCTGTGTGGTGGAAATGGAGGGAAGATGGTTCAGTGGAATTTTTTGATGCACCTGGTGAACCAAACAGCAGAGAACAATGGCCTCAACTTTACCACTTCAGATCAAGCAATATCAGTAGGATTTGCCAGAATCTGGAAGCAATGTCTGGAGCAATCAGAATACATTGCTCCAGAATCTGGAGCAATGTACTTTTGATCCTGATCAGCTTCCTCTACAAAATGAGGGATAAAGATGGCAAATTCACTTACCTGAGAGAGTCAGCTTGCCAAAAAACAAATTACAGGAACCACTTGAACTAGAAGATCCCCAGCCATCATGTACAGGCATCCTAAACTGAATGTGATGAAAACATACACTGTGTAGACCAAGAAAATACTGACAAATCTACTCCAATGGTGCCTGAAGATCAAGAAGAAGACTCTACTCAAGATGTTTGTAAAGAGCAACCCTGGGAAACTACACTTGAAGTAATTCTTGAAGATCAGCAACAAGATTTTGAAATAGCTGAAAGCATCCACAGTGTAGACTGTGAGGATCAATGTGGATCGAGGGCTAGATGTCTCACAAGACAATGGATTGCCTAACAAAATCACCATTGACAACCCAGACATTATAACATGTACAGAAGACTGTTGTTTCTGAAAATAAATACTTTGTTGAGCCACATGAGAAAAAAAAGAAAAGTCTAGTTGCATAGCACAGGTAGGGAAAGTCAGTCAAAGACAGCAAAGGTCCTGGAATTAGTACTAAGGGAAAACACCAGAGGTCTCTGAGATTGACCGCCTAAAACAAACAGTTTCAAAAAACCCTAAAGCACACTTCTATAGCAAGAAGTATGACTCAGTTCTAAGCAAAGTGCAAACACAAGTTTTGAGAGAACCAAGACTTGTAAAAGAGAAGCTAAGAAAATAGGACGAAGATTTTTTCACAAAACATGGCAGATTGCCAAATAACAATGATAATGATGACTTCAAACAATTAAGTCATGGAACATCACAATTCATGTTTCCTATCAAGGCATGTGAGACCTACACAGTAACCAAAGTGCCAAAAGAAACAGTTTAGGTCAATTATGTGTAAGCTAGGTGTAATAAATATAGTACCTTAAGACCAAAATTTCCTTTTGTTATTATCGTTTGTATCACTGATGTTAATATATCTAGATTCGTTGTTTTTGGATCAGTTTTAATTACCATGACAAAGTCACAGATTGTGCATGTAATGAACCATCCTTATGCTGTCAAGACAATTAATGGTAATTGCGGCAAAACTACATTCTGCACAGTACATCCTTTAAGACAGTAATTATAGTCAAAGAAATATGAAAAATTATTTTATTAAGTCCTAAATCATACTTTTAATTTGAAACAACTGAAGGTTTCCAATTAGCAAAAGGTCAGTTAGACAAGGGCAAACTAAGAAAAAATTGGTATGGTCACAAGACTCCATGTACATGCATTATTTGCTTTTGCAAAGAACTCTGAACATTTGATTACTGTGCTAAGATCTCAGTTTGGATCGTCAACAACTACATGTTGGAAGTAAATGTTTCGCTGCATAAGTGTACATGTACGAAGTACTCAGTGATCGAGTAGTAAATTCTCATTTCGATTCTCTGAGAATTTCAGAGAATTTGTACTCACGATTACAAGGAGAATATATATCTCAAAGTTCACTGCATCAGAAAAGATCAGACAGCGGCATTTCTTATAATTTTTGTCTAGGAAAATCAGTTTGTTGCCCAACAAATATTTTATTACATGCATGAAAGCAAGTCTGTTTCTCTATATTAAAATTGAAATGTTTTTACAAGCAATATTGGTAGTTTCAGTAGTTTACACGTGAAAACATAACATCTCTTCACATACCTCGCATAAGACGTTTTGTCCTTTTATCGTATCCCGTAGTCCTCACAGGCATCCAGGGTTAATGTACGCTTAAACTGATCGCATCGAAATCTTGCCAAAGCGGTTAGAAACCGGACCATCGACAGAAGAAAGCGAAGCCACGCTGCGGCCGATGAACGACATACTGGCAGTTTACCGAACTTCGACAAAATCACGTAAAAACAGGCCACTACTTTTGGTTTTAGGAAATCTTTCCCAGAGAAGTTGAAGGTCTGCTTGATACCTACAAAAGAAACCTTACCGAACACAACGACTGCATGTTATTGTACGTAAACTTTCCGACATGGATCCGCCATGTTTGTTTCTCATTAAATCCCGCTGTCCGGGTTAGAAAACGGGTCAACCCGCGAGGTGCGCTGCCGTAACAGGACAACAACAGGGGAGTCCCCTGAAGTCATCACTAACCAATCGTAAACGGCCTTGTAGATTTTTTTCTGACCCAACTTGTCTAACAACTTTATTGGTCACAAAATTATAATATAATTAAAAGAAGAAAAGGACCAATAGGAATTGCGCGAACGGGAAAATAAAGTTACCCATGCGAGGCGCAACCCTAAAAGCTAGTAAGAATGGTGATAGAAAATCTTGGGAAAGGAATTTCCTTTGTTAGTTGAGTCGGAATCACAGAATCCTTAAACTAAAAGAAAACACAACGAAGCCGAACGTAAAAATAAATATGTGAACAACCACACTCACCTTCAGGGCACAACCTCTCGTCATGTTCTTGTGGCTGCTTCCCAGCTTCGTTCAACTCATCTTCTCCTCCGATCTCTCTCATGTCTCTCTGCGCTGCTGCTCCTTCGTCACCCTCTAACAATTTTGAAACCAACAATGCAACTATCCCGCCGATGGCGACAAGCACGGCACTCCGCATAAATTCTTTGCCAGGAAACATCTCTGCTTGGTGTTGTTTAGCACGCCACGAATTGTCCTAATAGTGTGGAGATGAATGGACTGAATTAAAAACCAGCGAATGATAAACAGGAGGTGAGCATTAATTAATTCATGTTCATCGGAACATAGCGCGTTCTGATTGGCTAATCCATTTAAAGAGGGCCTGCCTGTAAAAATCAGACAAATTTAATTTCTTAAAGGGTCGAAAATTCGATTTCGCTCATATTCCTATGGTAGACAGGCTAGGGTATGACAAAAACTACTGGATAGTTTTTTTGGCAAAATATCCTCTTATTTCAAAGAAATATGCAAATTACCTAATTCCGTTAAAATCGTCATTTGACGCACCAGTCTATTAAACAAGTTTG